AATGTGCCACGGCGGTTGGAAGCGCGTCCAGTGCCCCTGCCGGTCCCTGCGTCCCTCTGGGATGTTCTCACCTCCATCCCTCTGTCACCTCTACATGCTCCTCGCTTCATCCTTCCTCCAGCCCCTCAGCTGATCCTCACCTTCATTCCTCCATCCTCTCTTTCTCATAGCTGCTCTCACCTCCATCCTCTACCTCTCATGGCTGCCTCTCACCTCCAACCCTGCTCCTCACCTCCATTCTCCATCCCTTCATCCTCCATTTCTCACAGCTGCTCCTCACCTCCTTCCTCTGTTACTCATGGCTGTTGCTCAGCTCCATCCTCCACCCCCCAAATCCCTCCTACCTGCTCCTCACCTCCCTCCTCCATCTCTCACGGCTGCTCCTCACCTCCACCCACCATCCCCTTGTTGTCCATCTCTTACAGCTACCCCTTCCTCTTCATCCTCTGTCCCTCCCGCCTGCTCCTCACCTCCATCCCTCATGGCCGCTCCTCACCTCCATCACTACACCCTCCATGGCTGCTCCTCACCTCCATACTCCATCCCCCATGGCCACTCCTCGCCTCCATCCCTCATGGCTGCTCCTCACTTCCATCGCTACACCCTCCATGGCTGCTCCTCACCTCCATCCTCCATCCACCGTGGCCACCCACCTCCCTCCCGGCTCCCTGACCCCCCTCCCTCTGCCCCACAGGCGAATACTGGATCGACCCCAACCAAGGCTGCAACCTGGATGCCATCAAGGTCTACTGTAACATGGAGACGGGCGCGACATGCCTCTACCCCACCCAGGCCACCATTGCCCAGAAGAACTGGTACCTCAGCAAGAATCCCAAGGAGTTGAAGCACGTCTGGTTCGGCGAGACAATGAGCGATGGCTTCCAGGTGAGCAGGGGGACCGTGAGGGGGAACAACGGGGATGGACAACCGGCGCTTCGATGCCTAACGCCTCTTCTCCGGCAGTTCGAGTATGGTGGTGAGGGCTCCAACCCAGCCGACGTCGCCATCCAGCTGACCTTCCTCCGCCTGATGTCCACCGAGGCCTACCAGAACATCACCTACCACTGCAAGAACAGCATCGCCTACATGGACCAGCACACGGGCAACCTGAAGAAGGCCCTTCTCCTCCAAGGCGCCAACGAGATCGAGATCAGGGCTGAAGGCAACAGCCGCTTCACCTACAGCGTCACCGAGGACGGCTGCACGGTGAGTGGTCCAGGGGATGGGCACGGTGGTGGCGGTGGGGACGTCTTACGGGGACGGGGCTGATCCTGACCTCCCCGCAGAGTCACACCGGCGCTTGGGGCAAGACAGTCATCGAGTACAAGACGACGAAGACCTCTCGCCTGCCCATCATTGATTTGGCTCCCATGGACGTTGGCGCTCCAGACCAGGAATTCGGCATGAACATCGGCCCCGCCTGCTTCTTGTAAACCGGACGCCCCACGCGTAACAGGAGAGAGTAATAATAATAATAATAATAATAAAAAAAA